CCCAGCCCCCCCCCAGCCCAGCCGCACAAGCTCTCCACGGTTCGCTGAGGACACCAGGTGGGCCACTTACCCACGGCGAAGATCGCCACAGATCGATCGTGTGACAGGACTCCGAGGCAGCAAATCTTATTACGCAGGCGGGGGCCGGGGGCGGGGGTCTTTCAGGCCCCGTCCGTTTATTTATTTATTTCCCGGACCTCGCTTTGTTCTGTTTGTTTTCTTTAAATCAATTTTATTGTGCCCCCCCTCCCCTTTCTTTCGGTGTCTTTTCAGAGAACAAATGACCGGAGCTGTTTGAATGGCTGTCCCGGGGGGGTCGTTCATTTCAGCCGTCTTTTCTGCCAGACGGCTTCCTGAAGCCCTGCAAACCGCTTTCCGGACAGAGGCCTGGGCGGCCAGGTCGGGTCTGCGATTAACTGCGGCGTCGCCCATGAGACCGGGGGGGGGGGGTTGCCTGCAGGGGGGCGGGTTCTGTGTGAGGATTCCACGGTGAGGTCCCTGGGCCTCTTCGTTAAGATTCATACATAATTAATGGAAATATTCGGTGAGTCCAAGAACAAAAACAGGCTTCCTAATGGGAGAGATTAGACGGGTGCCATTAGACGGGTGCCATTCCTGTTTCATTTACATCGAGCTGCTAAAGTGAAGATTACAGCCAGAATTCTCAGCGTTGGATATTTTCCTGGAGCGATTCACGCTAAATAGCCAGTAACCAAGTCAATGTCCTTAACCTCTGCATTACCCTGCTGGCTTCCTGAAAAACCACCCACAAAAACACAAAGTTTGCCATTTAATGTCCTTTAATAATTAGACAGGATTGAGCTCTGACCAATAGAGTACTGATGTCTGATGAGGAATTCATAATACACACAAACACTCACACAGACACACAAACACACACACTCTCTACTGTTCATCATTTTATAAATATCCCGGCTGCATTTAGTTCCATCTTTTCTTATCTAAACTGCCTGGATACAGCTTTGCTCTGGCCATCACAGTTTCGGTCTGTGATTGGCTGGGAGGCGGGGCCAACCAAAGGTCACCAGGTCTGCACACCCACAGAGAGACAGGGGCCTCGACCCAGCACCCCCTCCCAGCCAGGGCTGGTCCCACGCGGCCTGTTTGGAAAGACAATACGGCTTATCTGTGTTTTTGCGTCTGTACAGATGGCTAATCTTCCAACGGCCCTCCTTCCCCCCATTGTCTCGCTGCATCACGCGCAAAAATTTATGCAGGAACGAGGAGGAAATTATTCTCCAAATAAACCGTTTCATTTCCAAACAGGATATTGAGCCTCAATGACATCTAGACCACAAACACCATCTCTCACAGGACGACACAAGGTTTATTTTTCATAACCACGGCAACATCGAATCATTGCTAGAGCGACGCATCAGGTATCTTTCCCTGAAAACGTCTCATCAATCCAGCGGAAATTCCCCCGGACTGTGAGGACAAATAACAGGTGGTACGAGGCCTGTGAAGTGAAGGCCTCGCGAGAGGGGGGAGGGCCAGGGCAGGGGGGGCTGCTGTGCGCTTCGTGTTGTCGTTAAGGTCCAGCAAACCACCCACCTCGCTCTGGGCTGTTTCCGATCACCGGCCCGTTTTCCTCCGCGTGACACCGCCGACTTACAGCTGCTTTTCGGAAAAATGTGACAGAACCGTCGGACGGACGGCTTTGGTGCCCGCACTCAGATTTCCCTGGCACGTTCCCCGCGGCTGCGGCATAACCTGTTAACAGATGTTTGATCTGAAGCGGGAGTCTGACATTCTCACAGCGCCATCTGCCTCGCCGCGCTTCGTCCGCGTACCGCACACAGCTGGGAGGAAACTGAAAAAGGTTTGTGGCTGAGAAATTCTCGAATCCCATGTAAAATTTTAAATGGCATCTTAAGGATAATAAAAACCTGTTTGTAGGGGGAGCATCTGAAACTGTGACAAAGTGTGTGTGTGCTGTAAATGGAAATCCAGCAGGATAGTTTATTAGGCAGCAAGTTGTAAAAATATCGCCTTAACTTTGAATTTTAAACCAACAATTATAACTACCATCGGCGGAGCTCTGCCAACCTTGTACTATGCGTCTCTCTCTCTCTCTCTCACTCTCGCCCTCTCTCCCTCCCTCTCTGTTCCTCGATCAAGCCCTCCCTCCCCACCCCCACCCCCTCTCAGCAGTGCCTGTCACTTAGCAACTCCCCCCCAATCAGCCGGGGGACAAAAGCGGCTGAGGGACGAGGCCAGACAATCAGTTCCGTCTGTCCCGGACCACGCTGCGGCACTCCACTCGTGTGCCTTTGTTCCCCGTGCTCTGGGCTCGACTCGTCCGCCTGGGGCTTCCACATTAACCCTGCGGGTCCCGGAGGAAATTCACAGTCTGCCGCTCAGCTTTATTTGGCATCTCCCCTCCTGCCCTGCTTTTCCCACCAGGATATTTGCTTTGAATTTCGTTAAGGATTTTCCGATTCAGCGTCAGGCTTTGTGTGCCTGTGAGAAACGGCGCAGGAAAGCAGACAGCACTGACAAACACACTAAACACACAGACTGTATCAGAGGCACACGCAAAAAGCACACGGACTACATGGGAGTCACATGCTAAAAATACGCAAGACTGCTTTTGAGTCCCACTAAAAACACACAGACTGCATGGAAGTCACACGCTAAAAGCACACAGACTGCATGGAAGTCACACGCTAAAAACATGCATACTGCATGGAAGCCACACACTAGAAACACACAGACTGCATGGAAGTCACACGCTAAAAACACGCATACTGCATGGAAGCCACACACTAGAAACACACAGACTGCATGGAAGTCACACGCTAAAAACACACAGACTGCATGGAAGTCACACACTAAAAACACACAGACTGCATGGAAGTCACACACTAAAAACACACAGACTGCATGGAAGTCACACACTAAAAACACACAGACTGCATGGAAGTCA